GCCTCGAGTGTCCTCAGATTAGCTCTCTTGCTGTTCTCATTGATTTCCATACAACTGTATTTGAATACAGCCTGATCAGAAGGGTCATCCTTCGATCAGGGTGCCTGTAGGATATCATGCAACTTTGGCTTTAGACACGTTGAATCATCACCGGACGGCTAATCATCTTTGCCCTTCCTCCTCCAGTGCCGCGTTTTTATTTCTATTGTGCAATGTTTATACACTGTCTAAGAAAATCGAGTAGGTAACCCCTGTGCTCATGAGTAGCATATTATTTACATATTGGTGTCTTTGGTAAGTAGATAGCTATATCACAGTTAGCTGAGGCCACACTAGGAGAAACGAGAGTAGGCAATGCAGAAAAGAAGGTAACTGGGTATATCAGATTGAAAACTACTTTTTCACGGCATTGGTAATTGCTCGGACGCCGTTTTGCAACGCTAACGAACAAAACATGCGGAGCAAAAGGGATTCATTATCCCTTACCTTAGACGGAAATGAAAATTCCTCATGTAGTTGGACTCGCAAATGCAAGAGAAAGGTGGTCAATACAAACAAACGTACCTTGCAACCCTGACACATTAGACAGGTTGATCATTTGATCATGCTCATTTTATATCTTCCTTTGAGGAGAGACCCGTAAAATAACAAGCAACAGGGGATGCATGGACTTTCAGATTAAATATAATAAAACATCACGATAGCAGCTGAGATGGCTGTAAGAGAGTCTCTAAGATCTCTGTTCAAATGTCCACATTCGTGTCCTTCAAGGGTAGCATCTAACGCGGTTTTATCCCTCCCAGGCCTCAGAAGAGGCGACGCGAGGGCTAACTCAGCTATCAGGTGTCCCGGGGAGACTCGGTGTAGCTCTGTGAGATTTTATCATCATCGAGACTTGATATTTCGTGTGAAGAGAGATAAAAAGAAGGCGAAGTTTCCTTTTTATAATAGCAAGGGGAAAAATACAGTCACGTGTCTGACTTCATGTACGATGACATCGACGGCCAGCGAAGCGCAGCGACAGCGAGGCGGCTGAAGGACAGCATCATCACTCATCTCGCATCGCCTATATAACGCCTACACGTATCACGACGAGTCTGCCATGTCGGTGATGGATATAAATCGCCCAGGTTGAAGCGATGGACTACCCTCGATATCATAATTACAGCCGGTCACAGGATTACGAATATTACGACGACAACCCATGGGCAGATAACGACGATAAGAGGAAGATTGACCGTCGTTACACACACGCAGAAGACAGTGAACCACCGAGGGCAGCCAGGCAGGGCGGAAGAAGGTCGGAAACTATGACTAGCTGGATACAACGTCAGGCAAGCTCGCATGGCGTGCAGCTGGCGGGTGCGGCGGTGTTGTCTGGAGTTGCGGTAGCCGGTGCAATTCTTGGTTACCAGAGCGTGAAGCGCCAGGCAGCTGTTGAGGAGCTCAAGGCTTCGATACCGGCCTTGGATGAGAGTTCTGTTGAGAAGGTTGGTAGCCCTCTGGGTGACTGGGCTGTTGATTGATGCGGTTATTTGGCGATTTGAGATAGCTATATAGATACCCAATTTTTATTTCGGCAGCAAGCTAACAAATCGTGAAGCTTACAGAGTACGGCGTGGTGACACCACCCATAAGCGAGGAGGATCGAAGAAGTGCTTTGCTGGCTAAGAGAGCTCAGCAGGGAGACTATGATGATGGTATGTTTATGTATTTTGTTTCTGCATGTCTATACTTGAGCTAATGTGTGGCTGTTTAGATCTCATCCTCGAACAGCTTGCTCGAAACCGTGTATTTCTCAACGACGAAGGCCTAGAAAAGCTCCGATCTTCCTTTATAATAGTCGTTGGCTGTGGAGGAGTAGGCTCTCATGCGGCTGCGGCCCTTGCTCGATCGGGAGTAGGAAGAATTCGGCTCATAGACTTCGACCAAGTTACGCTCTCATCACTAAATCGACATGCGCTTGCAACATTGGCCGACGTGGGAACACCGAAAGTCCACTGTATCGAGAAAAGATTGCAGCAAGTTACCCCCTGGGTGCGATTTGACTGCCGAAATCAGCTATATAGTGAGGCAGCTGCGGACCAGCTGCTCAATCCGTGGTCTATGGCGGATGATACGGTTACCCGCAAACCGGATTATGTCCTTGACTGCATTGACAATATATCATCCAAGGTCTCGCTGCTTCACTACTGCCACTCGCGTGGTATCAAGGTGATTTCATCTATGGGTGCAGGCTGTAAATCGGATCCTACCCGGGTTGCTATAGGGGACATCTCACTCAGTCTAGAAGACCCTCTATCAAGGAGCACAAGACGTCGTCTGAAGATGCTCGGTGTCTCAAGCGGCATACCCGTCGTTTTCTCACTTGAGAAGCCGGGTCCGGGAAAAGCCGAGCTCCTACCCCTAGCCGAAGAGGAAATTAACAAGGGCGATGTCTCTGACCTGGGCGTGCTGCCAGATTTTAGAGTCCGTATACTGCCAGTTCTAGGCACCATGCCCGCTGTCTTTGGCTATACTATTGCAAACCACGTCATATGCGAGGTATCCGGGTACCCCAACGAATACAACCCGGCCGGTAAAAGCAGAGATAAATTCTACGACAGCATCTTGGGAGCTCTGCAGGGAACGGAGGCTCGTCTTGCAAAGACTATCGAAGGGCAAGATCCGGTTGGATTGAGAATACCGATCAGCAAGGAGGATGTTGGATACCTTATTGAGGAGGTATGGAGAAGCAAGAGCGTGTTCAGCGGTCTTACAACTCGGCTTGTGCTGATACGACGGGAACGACCTGTTCATGGTTTCGGGGCCGACCCGGAGTTGCTGAAGCAGGGCCAAAAAGGGGTACGATTACAGCTCAGCGAGCTAGTGTGCATGACCAAGGAGGAGGCGCTGCACCATGAGACGGAAGTTCTCAAGGGAGGCAAGAAACACTCGGAGGTCTACGATGATACGATTATACAAAAAGTTAGAGAGCGTATGGAAGAGGAGCGGTTTTTCCAGCGATATAGGTGATTATCTTATTATTATTATTTTGACATGGAGCTCTATTTGTACATGACGTATTTTGGCCCTTAGAATGATAAACGAGACCATATCATCCACCAAATTCTACCAAATGTCCACCAATGTTCAAATCATTGCCATTCACTAGATCACTGCGCAAATCAACCGGAAGGCATGAAGCAGACAGAGTTTGCATCAACCAAGGTTCCATGACCGGCAAGTATAGAGCTTACTGCACTTTCATCCTCTGTTTCCAGGCAAATATCCAGCCTGAAGCCGTCGTATACGCCCCGATAATTGCAGGATAGATGCATAAATGCCCTCTATACGCACAGGCAGACGCTGCGGCGCCGTCGCCAACACCATAAGCTTCACGTCACTACGTCATAGGCGATACCTGCTCGTCCTGCTCGTCCTCATATGTCTGTCCTTCGCAGCCTGGAAGAGCCTAGGATACCCCACTGTGGAAACAGTAAAAGACAAGGAGCTAGACAGGGCCTTGGACGAGGGTAACAGAGACCGCATCGGTGGATGGTTCGGGTCGAACGCTCTGCCGGGCTTTAGTGATATGGCTCACATACAGACCTTAGATGCACGGTTGTTACCAGGCGAGAAGAAGGCGTGGTTTCGCCGTTCAAAACGCAGACTTATAATTGTTGGCGATGTTCATGGATGCAAGGATGAGTGTAAGTATTATATTATATTATGCGATCTGGTTCAATTTGGATATTCAGAGCTGATGCTTCGTAGTAGAGAAACTGCTTGCACGGGTATCATTTAACCGTGAGAAAGGAGACCACTTGATTTTCACTGGAGACTTGATATCCAAGGGCCCCGAGAGCGTCGAAGTAGTGCGCCTTGCACGGAAGTACAGTGCTTCTTGCGTTCGAGGGAACCATGAAGATAAGGTCCTGTTAACGCGGCGTGAAATCTCAGGTTCATCACAGAGTACTGGATCTAGTGCCAAACGAGAGACAAAGGCCCATGTCCTTGCGCGTCAACTCTCAGACGATGATGCAACTTGGCTTGAATCATGCCCTGTGATCCTCAAGGTGGGATATATCAGGGGCATGGGGGATGTGGTCGTTGTTCATGGAGGGTTGGTACCGGGCGTGCCACTTGAACGTCAGGATCCGTCGTCTGTAATGACCATGAGGACTCTTGATGTGGATAGCCATACACCCAGCTCGTTGAAAGAGGGCACAGGCTGGTCCAAGGTGAGTTTACCTGTATGAGATGCATGCCAGGTTCGGAGTCTAATAGGGTCCGCCAGGTGTTTGACGAGTACCAGCGTCGGATGGTGAAGGAGAAGAATGAACGGCCTACTACGGTGATATATGGCCACGATGCGAAAGAGCTTCCGGTGATACGGTTGTATACAAAGGGACTAGACACTTCATGCGTCCGTGGAGGGAAACTTACTGCCCTGATTATTGGTGATGGCGGGAGACAGCGTCTGAAACAGGTGAAGTGCAAGGGTTATGTATGAGAGTACTTAATGTGGAAGTACAAAGTGTAAAACGAATTATTCTTAAAAAGAAGGATGATTATCTTTCATTGCAGCATTATCTTCATTAAGCTAGGTTTTAAAAGAGTAGTAAGGAAAGTATCATGGGCTCGCAATAAATCATCACTCGGGTATATCAGGGCTATAAAACCAAACCGGAGGAACGTGAGGGTATCGAGGAGATGATTAGATATTAGGGACGTAAGAGAACCGTCAGTGGGTCATGATCATAACATGACATAAGGTAGCGTGACAGCCGTGTATCTTCATTGCAGATGGCATTGAACAGCTCCGTGGGATGGGAGGGATGCTGCCTTGAAGACGCTTAGACAGCATGGCGGCGGTACCACTTGCGGCCACTAGATGTAAGTTAGTCAATCTGTTCATCATGGACAGGCATACATAAGATGAATACTGACCTGACGCCATCTCCAGCAACGGCTTCGTTGCGCTTGCGGAAAGTGAACCAGACGCCCTGCAACGCTTGTTAGCAACGAGAAGTTCCTTGGTGAGAGAGAGAGCGGGAGAGAATGCATACAATGAGGGCAGAGACAATCCAGAAGCAGGCAGAGAGGAAGCTGAATGCCTCTGCGGCTCTCCATCGGCCACAGGGGTCACCGTTGGTGAAACCGGTCCACTGGAAGGCAGTACCGCAGTTTCGAGTACCGAGAGAGTTAACCTGCACGGCAAACGAGGCGAACCAGGCCAGCGAGAGAATAACGTCCACTGGTGATACGTTAGTACGTTATACATTAATGGTAAGAGACATATAACTGGGCAGAAGGGGGGCCAAACGTACTGGGCCATGTCTTGAAGGAAAAGGAGCTCGGGAAGAGCCAGAGCAGGCCTAGCAGGATGGACACGCCGGCAATGACCTCGGTGTAGATCCAGCGGCTCTGAGGGAAATCGCCGTTGTTATTGCGGCTGAAGGAGCGCAGGTAGGAGCCGATAATGCCTGCAACGACCTGTCAAATGCATCGAGTCAGCCCGTCTGTAGGATTCAATATGGTCGAGATGCGAGTACCCCGAGCTAGGGCAGGGATAGACAGCACTTACAGCGCCGAAGAGGATCTCTCCGATCCTGAAGATGGGCGAGACGATACGGGAAAAGACGGGCATCTTGACGGGCCTTTTTTCTTTCTTTCTTTCTTTCTTTCTTTCTTTCTTGAGCACTGCCGGTTCAACAATGGACGGATGTCTGGAGGTATCGAGATCGAAAAGGTCAGTCAGGCAGCTGGGGGAACGTTGGTGCCCGGGATGCCAGGCCGACTTTATAGGCCTACCGACGGGCGGCCAGGAAAAAGCAATCAAGCAGCAGAGCTTGCACCGATGACGCAAATCAGGGCCAGGATGCCGCTGCCATTGGCCACTGGCTGCTCTGATCAGCGAGCTAGCGAGCTAGCGATCGCGGTGTTGGCTGCAGAACGAGCTTGCTGGCGGTGCTGCGCGGTGGAGAGAGTCCAGGGTGGCTTGGTCGGTGGAGGGCTTTGGACCAGTGCTCGCTGGCCAGGGAGCGCCACTCGCCGATGGCACGCATTATTAGTTATTGAACACGGGCAGGGGCGGGTTAATATCAGGCCTGATATACCCTGTATCGAGGGCAGCAAAGAGTCGGTCCCTTTCATTTCACCTGCGGCTGCTCGATAACTGCTAACTGCTGAGATAGCTAGGGGAAGCTTGTACCTCGCGCCGTGAACCCAGAGACTATTGCCTGGTAGCACCTATGACACACATGCCGGGAACTGCCAACGTCTGGCACGGGTTATTCATCATGAACCAGAGATTGAGATTGAGATGTTGAAATTTAACATTATATTCCAGACGGCTAGGTTAGCTACGGGGGGCGTCTGTGCCGGGATGCGTACGTCCTGACGCCGGTGGAGGCGGCTTTTGGGTCAGGTCCTCTCTGGCCGTGGGTATTTTGAGCACCCTCCTGGGCCCAGAAAGTTGCCTGCTATTAGCTATTATTGCTATCCGCGATCCTGTTTCCCTCGATGCTGATTGTCCCGGTGGCCAGATCGACAGTTACTTAAGACTTAACCCCCATGTTGATCCTGGATCTTGCCCTGGGATTATACTCCGTTGCATGACTGCAGGTACCACACCGTCATTGTTGATTTATTATTATTGATTGATTGATGCCTGTCAACACTTTTCAGCTCACGACGGGAAAGAGAAAGGCCTCCGTTTATGCGTAATTGCACATTGAAATCTCTGAATGACCGCCAGCTCAGCCCCCCTTGCTCTGGGAAAGAAAGCCTGGAAAGATTCGCCTCACTGATATCAGCAGTGATGCAAGCACCGGTCAGCCACTCTTCTCGACGAATTATACACATGAATTATCTCCATTCTTTAAGACGGGGAGTACATGATGTTGTCTCTAGCTCATGGCTTGGTCAAGGCATTGAAGCTGGCATAGATGCGCATTTCTACAGAGTACACTCTACCAAATTCGCAAAAGTCATCACAGAGCTACCTAACCAATAATAATACCCATATAAGCTATCCTCGTTTATATTATTGCACTTCGCACACACTCCGGAAAAATGGAAGACAGACAAAATTTTTCATGCTCCAGAGTCTGGTTCTGCTAATTCCGCCGCGGCTTTCACTCCAGTAACGGTATTCGACAACAATTGTTTGTTTACCCGACCTTCCTTGGATCCGGTGCAAGGATCTGCATGGCAGAGAGGAATAACGGCTGTGCTCCGGGCCTCTGGAAGGTCCGTATAAGTTCCATCTTCCTACGGAGTACCTGCAAGCAGATTCTGCACAGAGCGCGCTGTGGATGTTTTCTTTTTGCCTGTGATCAGCTCACGCGGATAATAAACTCAGTACCCTGGCATCCCCATGACGTCACAGGGTCCCTGCATATTTGTTTGTCCCTTGAGCTGCAACGGTGATATTATTATTCTTATATAATTTACAGGCACAAAACGACATCCATCTATAGGCGCGAAGTATTAATACAAACTGAAAAAGGGAGGAAGAAGATGCGACAAACAAATGGCAGAGAAGATTACACCAGGAACCACTCAAACAGGGTCCGGAACAGGTGCTTTGCGCCCTGGTTGATGGTATCCCCGTGGCATGGAATCGCACGATCAAACTCCCATCCATCGATCTTCTGAATTGACTGTTTGAACGCCTCGCGACCCCCGGCTGACATCAGATACCATATAACCCTCCGCTGTGCCATGGCGCTGCCCTTTGCCGACATGAGCGAGAGATACAGCTTGTTGGCGAGCCCGCTTAATGGTCCCTCTTGGGCCTTGCGGTACTGTTCGTATCCGGGCGGGTTGAAGAAGAGGTCTGCTTGAATCAGGGTCGCCGTGGGTTTGTGCAGCAGTACGATCTCGCGGTTGACGTGAGCGTGAATGTACTCAACGTCGAAATCGGCTGCAAACTCGTCCGAGATATGAAGCGTCTCCTTGTTCTGGGCGGTATAAATGTGTTCGAATTTCGGACCAGAGGTCGTTGGATTCTTTTGCCGTTTCTCCCATAGACCTTCCGGTGCGATGATGACGGCGTCAGGGTACGCCTTTGTCCAGTCCGCCAGGAACAGATGGTGCTCCATGTCTGGTGCGATGAGATACTTGACTGTTCCATTGAGGCTGGTGACTGCTTCGCTAACAGACGGCGTAAGTGCGACGGGGGAGAACACCGCGATAGCACCGGTTTGTAGACGAACTGTTGGAGTATATTAGCATACGGCAACGGTTATGCATTGCATCTACTTCGGCTCGACATCGATCAACTAACCTATCGTTGCACGTCCCCCAAATTTGAAAAGCCCGACACGAGCAAAGGGTAAACTGCATGTAATAATGTCATCGCATACCTTCCGTATAACCATCACACTCTCTGGGTCGGACGGGGCGAGTTTCGGCATTTTTGCGGGAGAACTATAGTAGGACGTAGATCTGATCTGCAACGGCGAACCTGCAGCTGTGTTGTTTCTTCTACTTCGTATTTCGACCTTCGTAGCAGTGCAAGAGTATCTGACGCTGGATCTTGCGAGCGTTCTTATATCCTGTCTTTGCCTGAGCTGTATCGTATTCTTTGCACCGTTGGTCACGGAAGTATACTGTCCTGGGCGGCGGATGACTGGGACGCAGCTGAGTGCGCGATAACTCACGTGAGCTTTGCAGCACAACGCATACACAATGAAACGGCCTGGTTATCTCCCATGCATTGGTCAGTCGAGTATTCACTGACTGCTGATGATTTGGTTTCATTTGCTTGGTTGGTGTGGGCGTCCATGCCGGCTATGTGGAACAAGGAAGCCGATAGTTAATAAAAATAATGGGGACTTTTCGGCAGAGTGGTATGACGTACCAGCCACGGAGACCCCGGTGCCTAGACTGTTCAGGTTCCAGTGTCAGGAATAATCTCTATTGTACAGTATCCTCTATTAAATATCAACATGCTCCGTATAGCTGACGGCAAGATCCAAAATTGTTGAAGGGGCCTCATCTAAGTATACTTAGTTAAAACCGCTTAATGCATTACAAAATCAAAACATCTTTCGCACAGCAAAATCAGTTTTAGAAGAAGGATAGGGAAGGAAGGTAAAATCTATGCCGCAGTAAGTAATTATGTATGCCATCTGCCAGTAGACGGAGCCTGATGAGCCTTATCGTCTCGGTGTGGGATTAACGGGGCTTTTATATCGAATGTCTCTATGAGTTGAGCCCAGGTGTCGAAATCTAGGCCAAAGACGGCTTGATGCTTTTGAATGCCTTGTTCTCGTGCCTCAGACGGAAGCAGTGGTTGTGATGGAACTATTAGAACGATTAGATCCACTGTTGAGTCAAACATCATGGGGCAAAGGGTTGCTGGAACTTACGTAGTGTAGGTAGGTTGTTACCGTCCATCGAGACTCCTATACTTCCGTCACGGACTAGGAAACTGACATAAAACATGTTCTCCACGGACTGGCCAAATGACCTTGGGTTGATACAGAACTGGAAGAGGGGGATTCCGCCATTATCAGATATTCCGTGTTTGCTCATAACTGCAATGGCCTCGGCCTCAGTAGCATCTCCCATCTTTGACAGCTCTTCACGAGCTAAGGATTCTCTTTGGAGTTGTATCTCAACCAACTTCGCTCGTATGTCTGTGCACATTGTTGTTAAAGTTGCCTCTTCCTGCTTCCCCAAATCTGTAGCCTTAAGATCATTCGGCCGCACAAGTTGGGATGGATCTATTCGTTCTCGCGCTCTTCGCTGTGTCAACTGACGAACACGTTTCTGTACGGACAGTGGGCCAAGAAGAAAGCCCGAAATGGAGGGTTTGAGGTTATTTGGAAAACAGGCATTACGTCCAAGATAGTCCCAGTTGAAGGGTTCTTCCTCATCGTCACTGTCAGCCGCACGTTGTGAAGGGTGGCCCGAGCTACGACGGTTGCTCTGTGTGGGAGTAGGGAGTGCTGACGACGTTTCTCTTCGCATATAGGATATGCATTTTGAAACAAACTCGTCAACGTCAATGCCCGCTACATTGTTGCCTAGACAAGCCTGTGCTGTTCGTTTGTAGGAGAGATCCGCGGCTGTGACAAGGAGGCGAGAATCGATAGTGGCGTCGGAGGTTTGCTTGACCTTCTTGAATAGATCGTTTGCTTTTTCAACTGTCTGCAAAATACCATTTGATTCTAGCTGAATAAATTCACTTCGAGAATCTAGAAGTATCCATTCGATTAGGACAGGAGGCCAAGCATGGAATAATGAAGTTTGTGTGGAGTATACCGTTTAAATTTGAAGCAAGGTCTCTCAGCCCCTTTCGGACCGCCCTCCTTTCCTCAGGATCCTGATCTGGATCATAAAAGTCTGTGTCTACAACCTGCCGGAGTCTGCGCTGATGGGTCGACTGTGATTGTTCAGGCACTTGTTCAGATACGCGCCGCCTCTTGTTCGATGCGCTGGACATTGGAGGGGCTGTCAGGCCACCGGATCTCCGCTTCTTCACTTGGAGCGCGCGCGCGCTTCGGTTTTCCTTATCTGATGAGAAAGACGTCGGAGGTGATGGCTCAGAGTCCTGATCGGAGGCGGAAGGTGTCGCAGAGAGGGATCGTTTGGAATGGATGGCTCGTCCCGCCATCTTTCATAACCCATACACTGTCTAGTTAACTAGTTAATGCTTTGTCAGGTCAGGGAGGAGCAGGAATCAATGCGGTCGTGTTTGTCAATGCGCGCAGAATGGAAACAGCTTTGGTTCAGTGTATAGAATTGTATTAAGTAGAGATATAAAACCAAGCAATCCAGCACCGCCTAGAGTACGAATGAGTGGCCAGCGAGGTGTTGGATTGAAGATATCAGCGTCGTCTCTTCGTCTTTTTTTGCTTGCTCGACGTTGAAAGTCGCCAAAAAGTTCGCTTTTACTTCTTTGGGCGAAACAAGGACGCGATGGTCCGTGCACCCTTAATTTGACAGCGGAAGGGAATAAGGTTTATCCGGATAAGATAAGCATGGCCGAGGCTTGGCATGATGTCGAGAGCGACGATGGAGACATCATCAACAACAGCAGCTTCGGGAGCAATAGCAACAGCGACGGCGAGGCAGAGGGAGGCTTAGAGGTTGATGTTATTTCCCTGCCCAGCGTAGAGGATGAGAATAGCTCTGGCAGCGAGTCTGATATCTCTCGTAACTGGGTGACGGTCATGGATACCTTCACCTTTGCAACATCAACACAGGTGGCCTTGCCCATCCGGGCTAAGATGTAGGTAGAGAAACAGTGACTTGGATGCGATCGCCTGCGCAAATGTACTGACTGGTCGTGTAGATGCAACTTAGAGGGAAGGCAAAAGCAAATTCCCTTCTCCGTCTTGCTCAAGAATCCGGAGCTACGTCATCTTGGGTCCAACCAGAGTCCTACTTCAGATCTCTACGTTACCGCACAGCTATGGAGCAGCTGCAAACCCCTTGGTATGCCTATGCAAACCGCATACAAGTCCTTCAAAACCACCCGGACATGGAACGAGTGGCTTGAAATGCCAGTACTCATCAGGGATGCACCACAGAATACCCAATTGGCACTCACAGTCTGGGACTTGTCACCCCTGGGCGGCGAAGAAGGCCATGATCATTCAGTTCCGTTTGGTGGTACTACGATTGCACTCTTCGATGAAGATGGAACACTGAAAAAGGGGAAACAAAAATGCAAATTATACCGACACAAAGCCGCAGATGGCTTTTCGTACACCACTACACCATCCACCCCACCACCCAAACGACGCAAAGGCAATTTTGTCGAAGAGGGGCCTACTCCAATTGAACTAGAGCTTGAGAGGCTAGAGAAACTACTGAAGAAACATGAAATGGGGGAAATACCCCGAGTGGATTGGCTAGATCAGCTTGTTTTCCGAGCAGTGGAGAAGATTAAAATAGAAGCTGAAGACGCTGCGAAGAAGCGTGCGCTTCGAAATAAAGCTGCCAGAGAAAAAGCCGTCGTTGAGCCCAATGGTGATTCTGGAGTGAGCTCTCAAGATGACGAAGAGGAAAACTTTGTGCTTTATGTTGAATTTCCACGCTTTGACTTTCCTATTGTCTTTCAGGACTTTGAGTATCCCCCTCCTCCGGTTTCTTCCCTTGCCCAGCATACGCCATCTGGTTCTACCGTTGCTTTGAAACCACCACCAGAGGTCCGACTTGGCCCGGACATTGAAGGGGCTGCGGATGACGAAGGAAATTACCCTATAATACGAATTTATGATCCTGAAGTTGGTCAAAGAGGAAATCCTTGTGAAGACAAGCATAGAAGGCTAGTCCGCAGCCATAGAACCGGTATCATGGACCGCGATCTGAAACCAAACCCGAAGATCCGGGACGAGATCAATGAGATCATGTCATATGGCCCAACCCAGGAACTAAATGCAGAAGAGAAGGATCTGGTTTGGAAGTTTAGATTTTATCTCACTCGAGACAAGAGAGCATTGACCAAATTTGTCAAGTCAGTTAACTGGCAAGATGCCAGTGAAGCTAGACAGGCTGTTGAAATCCTACCGAAGTGGACAGAGATCGACGTTGACGATGCTCTGGAGCTTCTAGGCCCGCTTTTTGACAACCCGGAAGTCCGTGCTTATGCCGTTGATCGGCTAAGAAAATCTGACGATGAGGAGCTGCTCTTGTACCTTTTACAGCTTGTGCAGGCACTGAAGTTTGAAGCTATTCCCAAGAGTTCTACGGATGAAACGAACGAAGCTGCGCATGATTCTTCTCTCACGAATTTCTTGATTAGCCGTGCAGCTAACAATCCTATACTGGGTAGTTATTTCCATTGGTATTTGATGGTTGAATGTGACGACACTGCTCCTGGAACGCTTTCCACGCATCGAAAATTCTTTGCGAGCGTGGAGTTTTACTTTATGCTGGAATTAGAAAAGGTTAACCCTGCGCAAAGAAAAGTGCTGCTCAGACAGGGTGAACTTGTTACCATTCTTTCCAAGATTGCAAAAGACATCCGATTCGCCAGAGTCAACCGTCCTTTCAAGATTGAAATGCTCAAAAAGTTCCTTGGGGACCCTAAGAACGATATTTTACAAATAGATCCACCGCTTCCATTCCCATTAGACCCCACAGTTTCGATTGTTGGGTGTCACCCGGAGGAGGCAAATGTGTTCAAATCCTCCTTATCACCGCTGTTTATTAATTTTAAGCTATTAGATGGCCGAAAATATCCTGTTATTTTCAAAGTTGGAGATGATTTGCGCCAGGACCAGCTTGTCATCCAAATTATAACTCTTATGGACAGGCTTCTCCAGAAAGAAAATCTCGATCTTAAACTTACCCCCTACCGAATCATTGCAACTGGAGCTACTGCTGGCGCTGTGCAGTTCGTCCCATCTACACCTTTATCTGCGGCCACAGCGAAATATAAAGGCTCATTGCTTGCTTACCTTAAAGCAAATAACCCTGACGATAGTGAACCCCTAGGTGTTCGAAAAGAAGCAATGGATACATATATCAAGTCCTGTGCTGGATATTGTGTAATCACCTATCTCTTAGGTGTTGGTGACCGCCATTTGGAGAACCTCCTGCTCGCTCCCGACGGACATTTCTTTCACGCTGATTTCGGCTTCATTCTTGGCCGTGACCCGAAACCATTTGCACCCATGATGAAGCTATGCAAAGAAATGGTTGAGGGAATGGGTGGTGCCAACTCACCGAACTACATTCAATTCAAACAATATTGCTTCACAGCGTATATCACACTTCGAAAATCCGCAAATCTTATCCTCAATTTATTCAGTTTGATGGTTGATGCGAATATCCCTGATATACGTGTTGAGCCCGACAAAGCGGTTTTGAAGGTCAAGGAAAGGTTCCATTTGGAGATGACGGAGGAAGAGGCAATTCGTCATTTTGATGAACTTATCATAAACAGCGTCAACGCTATTTTTGGTGCTGTTATAGATCGAATCCATGATCTAGTTCAAGGATGGAGGGCATGATCCGTTTTATCTTCACACCCCGGGAGTTCGAAAGCAAGAAGTTGGTTTCTAGGTTTTGAATCTTGAAGTTTTGAATAATTTAGAAGGCCCTTTTCAAGATAACGCATCAATGGGGACAGCCAGGAGTTTTGTGGGAATTTTATGGGAAGGCTTTGTACCAACATATTATACCCATTTTAACGAGTCATTTCATGTATTTGCAAAGGTAATTAATTTATGTCTTGCCTGCAGTTTGCAGCTATCCAGGGCCTAATAATTTACAAATAGTCATATTCCACTATTTCAATCGTCGACGTGCTTTTTAATCCAACAAACAATTTTCATACTCGGTCGGATGAATCTCTTTGCTGTTGTAGCACGCCAGTCTGGCCATCACCTTGTTGCTCTTCTTTCTCTTCCTGAACATTGCCCTCTTTATCTTCACTGTCTTTAGGGGTACCGGCCTTGCAAGCCCAGGCATCAACAAACCTTAGTACCTCTCTTCTAAACCAGTGCTTCATCACCAGTAATCTAAACGGAACGAGTAGGATGATTAACACGGGAAAGGCTGGAGCGCCACGTGTGAGAGTTAGTATGAATATAGCTATTGTAATCAATAGTTGGAGTAAAGTATAGAGGTGAATTGGTAGGTATGACGGCCTTGGACTTGTTTCGGTGGTGCTAGTAGGCGACGATGAAGAGCCCAGTTCTGCAGGAAGAGTTGGTAGTTCTGACGGGGGTGTCAATAGGTAAAATGTTCGATATAAGATGGGACTACAAGATTTATCAGTAGGTACTTTTAACTAGCGTAAGTGGGAGAGGGCTCTTACTTGACCGATAAGCTTTGTTCTCCCATGAATAGGAATAACCCAGCGAGTACGCTTGTTGGGGTTAACCCAAGGACCTTCATGAGTGGAGGGCTAACAAATGCGAGAATACCACAGCCATGGAGTAAAGAAGACCACCGCTGTTCATATACTCTCCTGATATGCCGAACTTCTACCGTTTCCTGGCCATCGACCTCGATTACAACTTCTTCTGTGTCCGCATGCATCAAAGATTCTGAATGCAGAGGGGCTTGAGGCAAAAGACCATTTGCGGGAGGAATTCCCAAGATGCCGCATAACGCAGTGGTAGTACCCAGGAGAATGATGTCCCAAGCAAACCCACCAGGCTTCCGCGTCTTATAACGATCGATGGTGCATATGATGGAGCTTATCTCATGGTCAAAAAAGAAAAGCATCGTGATGATTATGCCGGGAATAATAGCCACGAATATCCAGCGGGCAGGAATTTTCCAGAACTCAACGAAAAATGTACGACGTTCTGGAGAGGTGGGTTGAAACGTGATGCTGACAGGGAGCGTTGACTTGTCCAAGTGAGCGAGCTCTCCAATATGAGGTAGTCCAATGAACAAGATAATGGATATTGCTGCAGCATATTCCGAAAGCCCCAGGCGGATGTATCGGTGGAATAAGGTTTTCCAAGACTCTGCTGTGGACAAGAATATGGCGAGTAGCATTGTTCCTACCGCACCTATGATGGCGTACAGGAATGCGGCGAAGGAGAGGTTTGCGTGGGCTCGCTCAAGCTCTTGGATAGCTTTATGGAAATATATTATGCTGTTCAGGAGAGAGAATATCTCAGTTGAGAAAGTAGTAACGTAGCCCATAGTCCAATCATGGGCATTGAATATAGCCAGAAGATAATGCAGCCACCCTGCATGGATAAGCGACCAGGCCATGAAGGGTAGAAATGGAATCTATACATCGTTGGTTAGAGAACAATCGTGTCAATATTTGAAACGTATAGGATCCTACATTAAAAGTCTCATGGCAAAGAGAATATATATTTTCTGCAAGAACAGAAAAGGGGCCGGTAACCCCGAGGATTGTGAGAGGCTGAATAGAGAACCTGAGCAGGCAATGAGTATGGAGTTTCAAAAAAGTTGGGCAATGATTCTTACAGAGAAAATATGATACTACACAATCCCGTACTGAAGACTACCTCAATAGCACCCCAATTCTTGCCTGTGAGAACGTATAAATCACTGGCAAAGGTGATGCCTGGTAATAAATTGGTGAAGAAAACGTATACGGTGCTGGCCACTATTAATTGATTGAATATCTTCCAATCTGAGAGGTATCTTTGGCGTAGATTCACCAGATCCTGCTTTACAAGACGAAACGGCCGTAAGAGGCCACCAGGGCCTACTGTTTTGTTGAGTAGCCATAGTGGTTTGGGGGTATGTTTTGAGGGAGTGATGTATGAGTGAGCATCCTCGTCAGGTACATCCTCATTATAGTCCACTCTTCCTTGGTTGGTACTAGGTGGGCGGGGTTCCTTTCTTCGACGAAGCAAGCCTTGCATTGGTCTTGTCGACCGTGGCCGAAGAAAAGTGCCCACAGACATGTAGTTAGCCTCTCACCACCAAAGGCTGCTCTACTACTCAAACTAGGCTATCTGGGGTGTTAAGAATAGTCTGAAGGAAAAGAACAGCAAATGACTTGAATGAAATGAGTACTTGTATTGATAGTATCGAGCCAGCGAATTTAGCATAGTTGGCTCTACTATTTGGTTATATATAGCTCTGTGCCCGATCGAGGGCGAAACCATTTTTAAAATTTAGGTTCAGTTATGGGATGTAAAAAGAAGCCCATAGGAAGTCAAGGAAGGAGGGCTACGTACGCCAAGCGCCAACAGAGGGAGAAGTTCAAATGAGATATTCTGTAGCGAGCATGAGGGCTGTCTCTTCTCGCATGGGTCCTGGGGCTTTCTGGGGCAGTTTGCCATGCCCAAGGCACTAAGAACAAGGCCGAGACCCTGTTGGCCTGCTGGTCGTGATTTTTACTCCTCGGCAATAAGCACTCATTTTCTATGCAGTCCAGTTGTATAACGTACTAAGGAAATGAACTCGGAAAAGACGTCCGCCTGCAGCCAACTCCCTTTTACTGCTTCCTTTCCGATATCACGAAGTCTTCAGCTTTTGCGCATGTCGAAATAAGGTTCTAAAATAAAAATTACATAATCTACCACGCGGAAAATGCCAAGCCTGCCGTGAGCTTATCCGGGTTAAGGTTAATCCGCTATCTATTTCTGGCACCTTGGAAAGGGCGAGGGACGGGAGCGTGAGCAAAATGGATCATGACAGTGAGCTGACATTTGGCAAATTATAACAATATAACAGATATCCCGCGTCCAGTGAAAAGATCTTTCGATCACTCACTACAAGATGTTATTAGGCATATGACACTCTAGAAGTATCTCAAGATGACTTCCTTTATCCCCCGGACGGCATTTTTGGCGTCTGAACACATTCAGAAAAGCTACTTCCTGGGACATCACCGAGCTGGACTTGAGAAGATGAAAGCAATGCTAGACTCTGTTGACCATGTTATAGAATGTCGAGACTTCCGGGTACCAGCAACTTCGATAAACCCATTATTTGAAGAAGCATTGGGCGGGAAAAGCCGAACTATAGTCTATACTAAGCGAGATCTTGGAGCGGACTCGAAACCAGAATCTCGAATGGTATGTCTGCTTCTATTACTCCGCTACTGACATATTTTTACTAACTTCTACGCGACTGCTTTTTTGTAGAAAGAAAAACTCATATCTCGCTGGGAACAGAAAACTACGAAAGTCTTTTTCGCAAGCAGAAGCTTAAAGAACTCCGTCACTCCCTTGGCCAAGTACATAAAGGATCTCCCTGTGGCTGCCAACAGCATAATCGGATACCGCATGTTAATAGTTGGGATGCCGAATGTAGGGAAATCGACCCTTATTAACAAACTACGATCTATGACCAATATTAAGAACGTCAGAAAATCTGCCGTCGTCAGAACCGGAGCAGACCCAGGCATCACGAGAAAGATAGGTACACCTATAAAATTGTTCGAGAAGGATGATGTAGGCATTTATGTGTATGACACGCCTGGTGTGTTTGTACCATATATGTCTAACCCTGACAGTATGCTGAAAATGGCACTTTGCGGAATCATCAAGGACTCTCTGGTACCTATAATCACCCTGGCCGACTATCTTCTCTTTCAAATGAACCAGAATTTGTTGATGGATATGTATGGAGCATACTGTGCGCCAACCAATGATATCATGGAATTACTGAGTGCAATCTCGAGAAAAGCTGGCAGGCTTGTCAAAGGAGGTGACCCGGACTATGAGGCGGCCGCACGGTTATTTATCACACAATGGCGAGAAGGAAAACTCGGCCTATTTATGCTTGATGACGTGGTGAGAGTTTCATGGGAAAAGAAGAATGCCAGGCTCGGAACTACGGAAGGCTCAATCCCTGGAACTTCGTTGGAACTTACTCCTGAGAGAGCGCAAAAGATACTTGCTACTGGCGTGGCATAAGTGAAGGAAGGCTGATTTTGGCGTTCGTTTGATACTTAATATACCCCTACAGTGTACAATAGTGAATGTAATTTTAGATGAATTGAATAATTATACATATTGCTATCCTATCGGAGCCTCTAGACACCACTACTCCAGGGGCATATCCACACCTTTGTTGGATATGCTAACCAATCTTGTCAAGTAGCTTTCTTCTTCGTCTTTCCACTAGCTCTTCCTGGACATCATCTAGTGTAGGCAGCTGCCATTCGACACCATCACCTGCATCACCTGGCAACGGCTCCCACCCATCAATGGGTTTATCGTCGCCCTTCTTCAACACAGCTTCAAATGCCTCTTTCTCTTTCTTCTTCTCGTACGCTAGTAATGATCCATCCTCTTCGTCTAGGCCGTAGCCAAAGTATGCCGCATCAACATGTTTTTTGAACATTTCAATATCCATCTTTCGCCCCCCCGTATCGTCTAATTCAGAGGCACTTCTCTTTTTTGTCGCTGCCTCAAACATCTCCTTGACTCCAGGCAGTTCTCTCGCTCGACCGAAATATCTGTATCCTTTCCCACCACCAGGAATCTCTTTCCCGTCCTCATCGTATACTCTCCCGCCGCCACGCGTGTAATTTGGTCCTCCCAGATTTCGTATTTGAACTTCCCACATCCATTTTTCCCTCATGAGTTTGTTGATCTCATCGTTTAGGTCTCTGATTTGAAAATCGCTTAAACTAAGATCTTGTATACGTGTGACCTTTCGGGATATTTCTTTGAGAACTTGGCCGCGCCATTTTTCGCAAACTGGGATAGAATCGATCGAAGTGATAGCTTTTGGGCGGCGTGTCCGTCCGATATCTAGGATTCCGAGATCTGCAGCTTGAGCAGCACGGAATCGAAAGAGCATGGACTGTGCTTTCTCGCTATTTCGAGCCTATTGGACATGCATTGTTGCGATTAGTATGGGATCAGATATTGAGGCTATGCTAGCTAACACTCACCATGGTGAAAGAATGAGGCTTGGACTAGCCAGTTAACAGGCTGGAATTATTGTATCGAGTCAGATTACGGGATAATGTGCTATATCTGTCCCTTTCACCGAGAGCTCGAGGTTGTCGTTGCGCTTGAAGAATGTGTCTCTCGATCGATGTTATTCGTGGGAGCAAGCTTTGTCTGCCAATCTTATTGTTGAATGAAGATGTTAATCAACACTGCAGTGACGTTGTTAGTCGCCTTGTCAAGTATAAAGTAACCTAAAACGATCACCGGTTACCCCAAACGATAAAAGCGTCGTCGAGATAGCTGTTGCTAGTAATAGCCTCTTCCCCTTGCATATTAATTTGCGGCGGACTATATGTGCCATGAGCTCAAAATTCACATCGAAACACGCACAGAGGTGTTATCGGAATTACGTAATCATGGAATAATAAATATATGGATGTTATTGAATAAAACAGGAGAACTTAATTAATAAGCAATTCATTATAGAGATTGTCACGTG